CCATTCCAAAGTTGAATGGGAATCTAATTCTCTCCTAACTTTCCTAGACGTTCATGTTCATAGCTCTGTGTCCAGGTTCTCTTTCTGTCTACAGCAAATCCATGCATAATGTTCTGTACATTCACTTCTTTTCCTACCATCCTCCTCCTATTAAGAAGTGTCCTTGTCTCTCTCTTCTTTCACGCTTTATGCATCAGTGACCCCCAGTTTCTCTATTCTGAAATTTCCTTTATTTACAGAGCTCTCTCTCATCTTGATTACCCCCTTACATTTTATCAACCGTGCCTATTCTCAAGCTAAACAAAATTTCTTTCATCCTAAAACTGCTTCCAAAACTATTAGCACTGTGGCTCTGCCTTCCCTTCATATCTCAACTCAAAACTCTTACTAATACCCTTCGTCCTCTTGACAAAGCTTGCTTTTCGACCAACTAAGACTCTTCGAACTAATCTGCTTCACACTCCCCACTCCTGCTTATAATGCTGCTGGAGTTTATTTCCTGTTCCTCTTGTCCTCTCCAATACATTGGAGAAACTGGACACACACTGAATGACATACTTAGGGAACACAAATCAAGTGGTAAGTCTGCAGACACGAACAATAATCTCCTCTTGTCATGTTAGAGATTCTAATCATCCTATTGATGGGTCTTCTTCTAAAACAATCTTTCCTGCCTCTACTCTGCACAGACACCGTCTTGTCAAAACGACTCTGATACACAACCTATCAATTATGAACCTTAGTCCTGACTGTTTCTGTTGACTCTTCTCTTCACAGTGCATACTCAAATGTCCAAAACTTACTAACAAACATGACCTACCATAAGCCTACCCATCCTTTTTGTTTCTCTTCTTTTTCTTACATTCCTATTCTTACTCCTTTTATTACACACTTTATTTCACCTATCTCTTCCGTACTTTTTGCCTTGCTTTTACCTTCCTCTATGATTTCCTCCTCATCTCTCTCTCTCTTGCCTTACTTACACCCGTGCCTCCCTCGTCATATCACAATCTACTTGGTAATGGGTCCAGGACGGACTGAAACGTCGTCGTCTCTATCTTCTAGTGTGTGGTTTGGCCAACATTTCTTCAGCCACGTTATTGTGACTTCATCTGCATATGGACTGTGGAAAGTGAGGCACGTTTTCCGTGACCCAGGTTTTCTATGACACGTTTTCCATCCGGGTATATACCTGGATGGAAAATATAAAGATTTCTATGCACCAGATCAGAAGTTGGTGACTGACAAATCACATTTTCTTTTCAAAGCCTGCTTTAAACTCAAATTCTTCATTCTCTGTGATTACATGGTAGGAATGGTCATCTTGAGGTTATCAAGACAAGAATGGAAGTAACTGCAAAGGGCTTATTGGCCTATACTTCCTCTTGATGCTTCTATATTCAAGACTCCGTACCAATATAGAAGCATCAAGAGGAAGTATAGGCCAATAGGCCCTTTGCAGTTACTTCCATTCTTCCCTTTCACTTATCCAATTTATACCCATTGCACCGTGTTCTGTCTTGTGTTGGTCAAAAGTTTGTTCACCTCATCCAAAACTGTTTCAACATATCCCTTTTTTGCCACAGTAAGTCAACACGGGGAACTACTGTGGGGAACACGGGCCACAGGGATAAGAGCCTCGTTGGACGTAGAATCACTGTTTACCAACGTACCTGTGAATGAAACAATCGGGATGATAGCGGACAGAGTGTATCGTGATCCAGCCTGTACTCCTCTTGACATACCAGAAACCATTCTAAGGAAACTACTCCAAGCTTGTACTAAAGAGGCACCCTTCTTGAGCCTGGATGGGCACATGTATAAGCAAGTAGATGGGGTCGCCATGGGTTCTTCCCTAGGTGTCCTGTTTGCGAACTTAGTCTTAGTCGACACGGTCTTAGTCGACATGAACTTGAAAGCGGCCATATACTGCAGGTATGTTGATGACATTTTTACACAGGTACCTGATGTCAGACATCTGCAGGAACTGAAGGAGGCATTTGAGCAGAATTCTGTGTTGCGTTTCACTTACGAGATGGAGAAGGATGGGAAGCTGGCCTTTCTAGATTTAACAGTCATGGAAAGGAGCGGAGGTTTCCACACTGCAGTCTACACTTAGGAAACAAACATAGGAATGCGCCTCAATGCCAACAGTGACTGCCCAGACAGGTACAAGAGGAGTGTTGTTAACGCTTATGTCGACCGTGCTCTCAGCCACAGCTCAGGATGGAAGCAAGTCGATGAACTCTGTAGGGTAAGGCAGGTCCTAGTCAACAACGGCTTCTCCAATGGTTTCGTTGAAGACATCATAAAAAGGAAGGTGAAACGCCATGCAACCTCTGAAGAGACAGCTAACACAACACCTATACCCCCTATTAGACTATTTTACAGGAACTTCTTTTCCACAGCTCATAAAACAGAGGAAAGGGTCCTGAAAGATATTGTTAATAGAAACGTTATCCCTACAGACAAAAATCAGAGGATACAACTGACGATTTACTATAAAACCAGAAAAACGGCCAGCCTACTCATGAGAAACTCTCCAGACACAAAACAGAACGCTTTAAAAGAGACTAACGTCGTCTATGCCTTCAAATGCCCACTTGGGGACTGTAAGCTCCAAAAAACCCAGTATATAGGCAAGACAACAACATCTCTTTCTAGGCGTTTAACGATGCATAAACAACAGGGCTCCATTAAGGAACATATAATCTCTTCCCATAACCAAACCATCGCCAGAGAAATCCTAGTAAAAACACAGAAATCATCGATAGATACAGCGATAGCAGGCGGCTTGACGTTTGCGAGGCACTACACATCAAGAAGTCAACACCAGCAATCAACAGCTAATTATTGCACAACTATATTCTACCCACCTCAAGACTCCGCTCCAATATAGAAGCATCAAGAAATATGGACCAATAGGCTTTCTACAAACACTTCTATTCAATACCCATTGTTTCTGTTCTGTCTTGTGTTGATACTTTTAATACCCTATTAATATCCCCTAGTGTTCTGTCTTGTGTTAATGCCACATCATCCCACCTCCCACCTCACTCAAATGTAATGCCATATATAATATATATATAATATATATATATATATATTATATATATATATATAATATATATATTATATATATATATATATATATATATATATATATATATATATATATATATATATATATATATATATATATATATATATATATATATATATATATATATATATGCGAACAAGCCTGAATGGTCCCCAGGACATATGCAACTGAAAACTCACACCCCAGAAGTGACTCGAACCCATACTCCCAGAAGCAACGCATCTGGTATGTACAAGACGCCTTAATCCACTTGACCATCACGACCGGACAAAATGGTTCAAATATGGTGGTTCAAATGGGTGGTTCAAATAGCCTCGGCTATCACCTCATTTTGTCCGGTCGTGATGGTCAAGTGGATTAAGGCGTCTTGTACATACCAGATGCGTTGCTTCTGGGAGTATGGGTTCGAGTCACTTCTGGGGTGTGAGTTTTTCAGTTGCATATGTCCTGGGGACCATTCAGGCTTGTTCGCATTTGTGTTCCTCACGTGTTGCCCCAAAGAATGAGGTGATTTGGTAAAATGCTATGCCCAAGATAACTATCATCCGAGTGCCGGCGGTGGGGTGGTTCAAATAGCCTCGGCTATCACCTCATTTTGTCCGGTCGTGATGGTCAAGTGGATTAAGGCGTCTTGTACATACCAGATGCGTTGCTTCTGGGAGTATGGGTTCGAGTCACTTCTGGGGTGTGAGTTTTCAGTTGCATATGTCCTGGGGACCATTCAGGCTTGTTCGCATTTGTGTTCCTCACGTGTTGCCCCAAAGAATGAGGTGATTTGGTAAAATGCTATGCCCAAGATAACTATCCGAGTGCCGGCGGTGGGGTGGTTCAAATAGCCTCGGCTATCACCTCATTTTGTCCGGTCGTGATGGTCAAGTGGATTAAGGCGTCTTGTACATACCAGATGCGTTGCTTCTGGGAGTATGGGTTCGAGTCACTTCTGGGGTGTGAGTTTTCAGTTGCATATGTCCTGGGGACCATTCAGGCTTGTTCGCATTTGTGTTCCTCACGTGTTGCCCCAAAGAATGAGGTGATTTGGTAAAATGCTATGCCCAAGATAACTATCCGAGTGCCGGCGGTGGGGTGGTTCAAATAGCCTCGGCTATCACCTCATTTTGTCCGGTCGTGATGGTCAAGTGGATTAAGGCGTCTTGTACATACCAGATGCGTTGCTTCTGGGAGTATGGGTTCGAGTCACTTCTGGGGTGTGAGTTTTCAGTTGCATATGTCCTGGGGACCATTCAGGCTTGTTCGCATTTGTGTTCCTCACGTGTTGCCCCAAAGAATGAGGTGATTTGGTAAAATGCTATGCCCAAGATAACTATCCGAGTGCCGGCGGTGGGGTGGTTCAAATAGCCTCGGCTATCACCTCATTTTGTCCGGTCGTGATGGTCAAGTGGATTAAGGCGTCTTGTACATACCAGATGCGTTGCTTCTGGGAGTATGGGTTCGAGTCACTTCTGGGGTGTGAGTTTTCAGTTGCATATGTCCTGGGGACCATTCAGGCTTGTTCGCATTTGTGTTCCTCACGTGTTGCCCCAAAACATCACCCTTCCCACCTCACCCTTCCCATATATATATATATATATATATATATATATATATATATATATATATATATATATATATATATATATATATATATATATATATATATATATATATATATATATCGGTAGCCCCTGGGCTACCAATATTACCAGGGATTGGGGAGAGGAGGAGTATGAGAACCATGAAGTATTCTTATTGAGGATAGCTAACTAGTACTACATTAATCAAGTTAACCTGCTTGATGGGGTTCTGGGAGTTGTTCTACTCCGAGGCCAGGCTTGACTTGTGAGTGCTTGGTCCAACAGGCTGTTGCTTGGAGCGGCCCCGCAGGCCTATTTTTACTTACCGTTGTATAAGAAGTTCCACAAATTTATAACGGCCTTTCTCTGCTGCGATGGTGAGGGCAGTGTCTAGAGAAGATGGTACAGGTGGAGCATTGACATCTGCCCCATTGTCAAGCAGGACACGCCCTACCTCAACGAAGCCACCATATGCAGCCTCCATCAGAGGTGTTACTCCAGCCTGTGTAGGCAGATGGAGCTTGTTACAATGCAATCATGTTCATTAACACTTATACTTTCAAGAAGTCAGAAGGCATTTAACCAGGAAATATAGGAGCCCAGCACAGAGAATGAATGTTTAAGATGCACAAATCCACAAGGGCCGTGATGAGGATTCGAACCTGTGTCTGAGAGCATCCCAGACGCTGCCTTAATCAATTGAGCTACGACATGCTCAGATGGGATGCCCTCAGACACAGGTTCAAATCCTCGTCATGGCCCTTGTGGATTTGTTCTTTTGATGCATAATGCAATTGTGACTTGTGTGTGTAATGTTTAAGATATTTAAAATGACCCCCACCTATTCACCATATCTTCCATATTGTACAGCATCATGGAGAACCATCATCATAATGGCAAGAAAACCTCAATAGCAGTACTTGCTCCCTACAACAGAGTATTCCTTTAACACACATGCACAGAACAGTTTATGTATACACACACACATGCACACTGGTCCCCTTTAACAGAACATAGTCCACTGCAAGGCCTGATAAATAAAGAGCCCATTCTGTTACAATAACTTTGCACTTCCAGTGGAGGGACTCAACTAGAATGAAATACCAAAAATAACTAACACTGAATGTATTTAAATGCCATTTTCTGGGTGATTCCCGGAAGCTCCCCGAAGCTATACAGGGCTGATGTGTATATTTTAGATTGTGGCAACAGTCAATCTATTGAGTTCTTAGCTTGCCGGAACAACGACCCAGAACCTGGACCCTCATAAGTGGCACGAGGAGCAATTGCCTATAGACATCCCCAAGTAGTTGGATGTCTGGATAGTAGTCTATGTCTGCCATCTACCAGGTCAGGCACCCAGAAAGGAAGGAATCCCAAAACAAACTACAGCTTGTTAAATATTGTAAACCAAACGAGAGCAATTTAACTTCTTTAATTTAACTTATTGGGATAACTTCCCAAACACAAAACAAGCAAACAAGCATGACGTCACCACAGCTGCCACACCACTGTCTGCACAGCTTCCCCTTCCCCAAAAGGGGGGAAGGGGAAGCCCCAGACCTCCCACGCTGGCAACCAAACCCAAGTTCAGCGGCTGAATATAAATAACGCGAAAAAAACAGCCAACTGGGGAGGGGGGGAGGGAGGGAGATATGCCGGGAAGCCTCCGGGTTTCAACCAGAAAATGGCGGGTTTCGTTATATTCAATGCTGGTTTTCTGGGAGCAGTCTCTTTGGCTCCATGGAGCCATTTACCCAAAGATAAAACAAGAGGGACTTACCCGGGAGGCGGTCCAAACTTGCTTCTCAACTTGAAGTCGAGACAACTGGCTGGAACCTGCGATCCAAGGCTAAACACGCCATACTAGGGCCAGGAACATTAACAAGGTACAGTGCGGCCAGGACCTTGTTCGACCTCCATAACCTCATGCTTGAATGTCAGCCCAGAACATATTACCAAAAACCGCAGCCAAAGCTACGAACTTACAAACGTCTGCCCCAACCCGTCCTCTTAAAAATACCGTCGCTTTTTGCTCGTATGTGCGCTACGGCCAAAAATGGACGTAATTTTAAATGAAATCGGCTCACGAAAGTGATGTATTGTCCCGTTTTCTGTTTGAGTCCTCCGGCTTACTTGGAAAGGTTAGGAGAGCAAAGTTTCAATTAACATTTTTCATGACATTTTGAAACTTAACCCTCAAACCGCGCATATCATATATAAATGATATCAGTGACAAAACTGAAACCGCGCACATCATTTATATATGATTTCGTGTCTAGCGCTATAATTTAAACGCCCCACCTGGGATAGGGGCAGCTAGAGTACAGCCACGACCGATAGTTGCCAGATGCCACCTAGAAAAAAAATCCAGGCCAACATTCTTGGGTGTTACAGCGTCAGTATTGAGCAAGCCACCAAGGCTGGCGCACGCAGCACGAGCTCACAGCACCGCTGTTCAGCTTGTGACCACAGCATCGCCTATAAATGCCATAATATATATGATACTGCTATTATTTAGCAGTGATAGTATTACTGAAGCCCCCTGACTGTGAAAAAACTGACCAGGATTCTGATAATAGCAGGATTGTGGTGATATTTAGCTCTGTGCTCCATGGAGGGAGGAGTAAGGCTGTGGAGAGAGGGTTGTGGCGTCGTCTTCTGACTGTGTGTGGTCACCTTATATTGACTGCACTCACCATACCAGCTTAGTGGTTCGCTATGGTGAACACAAATGTAGATACTTATATATAACGTGTGTATAGTGTGAGATAACAGCGCGAGGAGTAGGTTGGGAGCCGCCATTTTGGTGAGGGAGGAGCGTCATCTGCACGACTTGGCATGTTGTTTACTTGATGGCCACTATGGTCTTTGGGCACCATACCAGCTTATTTGTACAGGTATGGTGAATAAAACAGGTAGATACTTATATATAATGTGTGTATATAGTGTAATAACACCACAAACAATATTGTTGGAGGACAAATATTAGTGTCTCTGGCCTTGAGGGCAGCCGCCGATCAGCTGACTGTGAGAGTAGCTACGTCTTTGTGCCTTTACTCACCATACAAGCTTAGATGTACAGTTATGGTGAACAAAACATGTAAATACGTATATATAACGTCTGTGTATAGTGAATAAATGCAAAAACAGTATTGTGGGAGGAGAATGAGGGTGAGTGAGGTGGTGTTGAGGGAGGGAGTGGCAGTGAGTGGCTCGCTGGTGTTTGACGGTCACTCCTCGTTGCTTTTTGACTCACAAGACCAACTTAGTAGCTCGATATGGTGAACAAAACATGCAGTTACTTATATATAACCTGTGTATATAGTGTAACAACAGCAAAACTATTTGTTTATTGTTTTATTAACATAAAATTATGGTGTGCATATTAGTGATTCAATTATCGAGTACAGCGATGGTTTACACATTATATAAATATACCACAATTCGCTGTATGGAATAATATTACTGCAAAAAAACTAAGAAAATATAAATCAGACACATTGAAATAATTAGGTAATAATATATTTGTGGCAACTGCTGTCTGACAGCTCGGGCAGAGAAGACCTCGTCTGGTGAAGGCTCTGCCAACGCCCCTTTTTTGCCACACTTCCCTACCCTATTGCGGCTAAAATATGCCAACTATGATTTTTTTGTTATTTTTTCCATGATCAGGGAACAAAAATGAACACTTCTATAAGACGAAAGAATTTTTTGGAATTTTTTTTTTTGTTGCGCCTCTGGGTGTGAATTCCATTTGGGCCCCTAGCGGTTTGAGGGTTAAGGGGACATATTAAGTCACTCGGGTGACTTGATATGTCACCTTTTACGGGACGGTGGGAGAAGGGACACCACGAGCGTAGCTCTCATCCTGTAACTACACTTAGGTAATTACACAGTCTAACAAGGTGGCTGAGTGGACAGCGCTCTTGACTCGTGGACCTAGGGACAGGGGTTCGATCTTGGCAACCAGCAGGAAAAACAAATGGGCAGAGTCTGCTTCACCCTGATGCCCCTGTCACCTAGCAGTAAATAAGTACCTGGGAGCTACTTCAGGCTGCTTCCTGGGGAAGGGAGGATTTGTGGATGTGTAATTACCTAAGTGTAGTTACACGATGAGAGCTACGCTCGTGGTGTCCCATCTTCCAATGCACTCTGTCTTGTAACACTTTGAAATTACTGACGGTCTTGGCCTCCACCACCTCTCACCTAACTTGTTCCAACCGTCTACCACTCTGTTCACAAAAGTGATTTTTCTTATATTTCTCCGGCAGCTTTGTTTTGCGAGTTTAAATCTATGACCTCTTGTTCTTGAAGTTCCGGGTCTCAGGAATTCTTCCCTATCAATTTTATCGATTCCTGTTACTGTTTTGTATGTAGTGATCATATCACCTCTTTTTCGTTTGTCTTCAAGTTTTGGCATATTTAACCCTTAACATGCTAGGGGTATAATATCCTTTCTTCCCCACAGGCGCATGTAATTTTGAAAAAAAAAAAAAAATTCTTCCTAACCTGTTAATTTGTATTCATTGATCACGGGAAAAATAATAAAAAAATCGTAAATGGCATATATTGCCCACTATAGGGCGGGGAATTCTGGCAAAAATCAGGCGCTGACTGAGCGTGCGTCCCAGGCGGTCTGTTGATCACCAGCTGTCAGGCCAGAGTTTCCACAAAGAGATAATTACCTAATTATTTCAATGTCTGATTGATTTTTCATAGTTTTTTTGCTGTAATATTATTCAATAGTGTGTAGTTTGATATATTTATATAATAAAATCAGTGGATCATCGCTGTACTCAAAAATATGGTGTGCATATTGTTGATTCAATTATGTTCGTCAATCAGTGAACAAATACTTTGTCGGTTATTACACTATAAGCACAGGTTATATATAAGTATCTGCATGTTTTGTTCACCACAACGAACCACTAAGTTGCTATTATGAGTCATAAAGTAACGAGGAGTGACCGCCGTGTACCACTCACGCCCTCCCTCAAGTCATCTGACTCACCCACCATACTGTTTTTGCTTTTATATACAGACGTTATATATAAGTATTTACATGTTTTGTTCACCATAACTGTACATCTAAGCTTGTATGGCGAGTAAAGGCACAAAGACGTAGCTACTCACACAGTCAGCTGGTGGCGGCCGCCCTCAAGGCCAGACGCACTAATATTTCTCCAACAACAATACTGTTTGTGGTGTTATTATGCTATATACACACATTATATATAAATATCTACCTGTTTTATTCACCATACTTGTACAAGTAAACTGGTATGGTACCCAAAGACCATTGTGGTAACCAGTAAACAACACCGTCGTCTGCACGGTGGCATCGTGCAGACGACGCCACCGCCCTCACCAAAATGGCGGCTCCCAACCTTCTCCTCTTGCTGTTTATACCCTCCATACACACGTTATATATAAGTATCTACATTTGTGTTCACCATAGCAAACCACTAAGCTGGTATGGTGAGTGCAGTCAATAAAAGGTGGCCACACACAGTCAGAAGACATCGCCACCACCCTCCCTCCTACAGCATTACTCCTCCCTCCATGGAGCACAGTGGTAAATATCACCACAATCCTGCTATTATCAGAACCCTGGTCAGTTTTATCACAGTCAGGGGTCTTCTGTAATAATATCATCGCTACATAATAGCATGAACAAGTATATTATGGCTTTTTTAGGCGATGCTGTGGTCACAAGCTGAACAGCAGTGCTGTTAGCTCTTGCTGCGTGCGCCAGGCTTGGTAGCTCACTCAATACTGAGGCCAATAACACCCTGGAGTTTGGCCCACGATTTTTTTAAAAAATGGCGTCTGTTTACAAGAGCCCTGATGAAGGTATGGTGAACCCTGTGTATCCGCGGGCCGTTTAAATCTTGCGTAGTACTCCAACATGTCATATGATGTGATGCGCAGTTGACTGGAACAACGTCCAACACGTCATATGACGTGATGCGCACTTTAAGGGTTAATGCCTCTAACCTCTCCTCGTAGCTCTTGCCCTTCAGTTCTGAGAGCCACTTAGTAGCATGTCTTTGCACCTTTTCCAGTTTGTTCATGTGCTTCTTAAGATATGGGCACCACACAACTGCCCAGTGTGTGTGGTTGTGTGGGGTCTATGTTCTCCTATTTCACATTCCATAACATGGCATTTATTAACATTAAATTCCATTTGCCAAGTGGTGCTCCATATACTTATTTTGTCCAGGTCATCTTGAAGGGTATGACAATCATCTAAGTTTCTTATCCTTCCTATTATCTTAGCATCATCAGCAAACATGTTCATATAATTCTGTATACCAGCTGGTAGATCGTTTATGTAGACAATAAACATCAGTGGTTCAAGAACTGAACATTCCCACTCTCTACCTTCAGACATTTGGAAGCCGGAAGCAGGATGAACTACAGCAGGGGAAGGACCAGGGGACACAGATGAAACCAAAGTCGAAGCATCTAACACACCCAAGTCCGGATCCCTATAACCAAAGCGGGGCAGCCTCAGGGCATCCGGAAAGGCAACCAACCTAGCGTGTTGCAGCAACCTAAACCTCACATGCAATGCTTAAGCTGCCTGCAACCCAAAATCAATAGCAGTGGACTGGCTGAATTGGAGTACAAGCAAGGAAAACCATTCACAGGACTATGGGTCAAAGGTGTCATTGACCCAACAGACAGCATAGTGGAGGCAAAAACAGTGAGTGTCACCCTAACGGGACAGACCTCCAGAGCATGAAGCGAGATGGGACTCAGATGATGCATCCATTGGACCAATGAGTCCCAATGGGTGTTTTCAGGACTCTAGGACTGACTGCTAAGGGAAGCCCAGGCAAGGTACTGCTAACCGGTGATCCCAGAAGTACCAAACATACAAACAAAATGCTGAACCGCTGCGACATGTGCCATCATGGGGGACCTAGCGGAGGGCCACCCAAATAGTTTGTGTAAGGTAGCCCAAAACTGCAAGGGCGGTATAAGAAGCACGAGAGGAGAGGCATGAGAGGCTCCTCGTGCCTCTCTGAGGGGAGGCCAAGTTCTGTCTCTTGGTCTCCGGTAGGCTAAGAACTCCATCGATTGACTGTTGCCACGGTCTAATATATACACATCATCCCGGTCTAGCTACGGGGACCTAAAGGGGCTCTCACAGAAAAAATAGATTTTTTTTTTCCTTTTAAAGTGATTTTGATTCAAAATGTGCACGTGTTTTTTAATATTTGCACTAATGAAAACTTCATAATCTAGCCATATATAGTGAATAATGGCAGCTTTGTATGCACCAGATTTTTGTGCAGTGGAAGGGCTATGAAACTAATTTCTCCATTTATGCAAGATTCCACTCCACACACATCAAATCTTGTTTGTACATTACACACAATATGACTTGGGGGGCCTCGTAGCCTGGTGGATAGCACGCAGGACTCGTAATTCTGTGGCGCGGGTTCGATTCCCGCACGAGGCAGAAACAAATGGGCAAAGTTTCTTTCACCCTGAATGCCCCTGTTACCTAGCAGTAAATAGGTACCTGGGTGTTAGTCAGTTGTCACGGGCTGCTTCCTGGGGGTGGAGGCCTGGTCAAGGACCGGGCCGCGGGGACACTATAAAGCCCCGAAATCAACTCAAGATAACCTCCAGATAACCTCCTTACAAAAATTAATGTAAACCAACTAAAAATATCTAGTGAACTCAAATGCAAAGTTCAGTTACTGATAAGTATGATATTTAATTATGTTAATTGCTGCAAAGGAGCTGCACTAATAAGTTCAATGTTAACCTACCTTATGAACATAAAGAGCTTTTATGTTTGAAGTAAAAGATTGACATTGAGACATTATGGATTTCTACAAAACGGGGCACAAAATAAAATGGGCCCTAAAACCTACATTGCTCACTTGCAATAGGAAGTATCCTTTAACAATTTTACCAGCACTGGCACACTAGATTATAATCATAGCCAAATTCCACTTGAAATCTTAAAGCTGCTTCAGCACAATCAACTTATCCCTTTGCATTGTTAGCAGGAATATAAAGAATATTACAATGCTCTACCATGCACATTGTAAATTAATCTATGCATATGTTTGTTAGAATTTATTATAATAAGAGGAATTATAGTTGTATTTTTACCCAATAGCTTGTGTTTGTAAGTACTGTATGAGGAACAAAATCTAATTACTTCATACTGCCAGTGATGCTGAAAAGGCCAGTGTGTGACTTGAGCTAAAAACAGTGGTAATCAGCACATTTGACTATAGCCTACCTTGGAACGGTGTTCAACATTAGCTTTGTGGTCAAGGAGAAGTGATACAACTTTGTACCGACCTCGGAAACAAGCTAAGGTAAGGGCAGTGTTCCAATTGTACTTTATTTGAGCATTGATGTCTGAGCCCATGTCTAATAGTAGTTTCACCACTGCCACACGACCATACATGGCAGCAAGCATGAGTGGGGAGATACCATGCAAGGATCCTGTGCGTGAGTCGACCTGTGCGCCATTGTTAAGCAGCAGTTTAATGATGCCAAGAGAGCCCTTAGCTGCAGCCAGAGCAAGAGGAGTGTAGTCCATTGCACTTCTATGGTCCTTATTGGCACCTCGCTGGAGAAGAATTTCTACCACCTGCAAACCAGATGCACCAACTTTAAAAGCCACTCAAAATTAATTTCTAGCATTATTAAATGCAACAGACAAATTTGTATTTAGCTAACTCCTTCACCTGGGCCCAGGTGAAGGGCTCAAAATATATAAATACATAAGATATATTTATCCTATTTAAAACAAATATATTTTAATATATTTACTATGTATATTAATATGTATTTAACATGGATATTAATATGTATTTAGTATAAATTTAATAAACATATAAATAGAATAAATACATTTCTTTTGTAGTTATCTACTTTTGATACCCAAATAAAATAATGGGTACAAAACTAAAAACTGTAGATTCAAGTTATTCTGAAGAAATCATTTAGAATTTACAGCCATTAGTAAATAATGTTAATTAAAATGAACAAGCTCCTGAGTAGTAAAAGGTGCTAACCTTGTATTTGCCTCCTGAGCATGCAATGCAGAGAGGAGTCTCCTGGAAGTAGTTAGTCCGAGCCTCAATATTCGCACCTGCAGTGAGTAAAGTTTCTACTACCTTGGCACGTCCAGCAAAAGCAGCTACAATCAAGGGGGTGAATCCCTTCTTGTCTCTGTGCTCTGTAAACAGATATAAAATATACATTACACAATTATGAAATACACACACTATTCTTGTTGAGCATACTTGTGTGTGTCTCAACAATTTAAAGTAGTGAGAAAATTTATGATTATTCATAATGACCGCCATGCCACACGAAAATCATACCTATATCGGCGCCTCGAGCCAGTAGAAGCTGCACCAATTTGTCGTGGCCACCTGCACAAGCCAAAGTCAGGGGTGTGTCATGGTTGGAATATGCCCCGATATCAACATTAACCAGATGGAAGGGTTTTCCAGCAGGATACGGGCATACTCCAGCGGGTCCAATACCCGCTGACCCATTGTATGGAACAGTTTCATCACCACCCATGTATGGAGCTCCGGCTGACACTGGTACTCCACCAACCCCAAGCTGCTCACCACCCACCTATATATAAAAAAAAAAAAAAAAGTGTTGAATGTAATGAAATGCCATTTTCTGGGAGTCCCGGCTGCTCCCCGGAGCTTACTATTACCTAAGTGTAGTTACAGGATGAGAGCTACGCTCGTGGTGTCTCTGTGCTCTGTAAACAGATATAAAATATACATTACAAAATTATGAAATACACACACTATTATTGTTGAGCATACTTGTGTGTGTCTCAACAATTTAAAGTAGTGAGAAAATTACTGGGCTGATGTGTGTGTATTAGACCATGGTATCTATTTGATTGGAGTTCTTGCCTATTGGGAACCACGAGGCAACACCTGGCCTCCCTCAAAAAGGCACGAAGAGCAATTGCTTATGGAAACCCCCATGTGGATGGGAGCATTCCATGTCTGCCATCGGCCGGGTTAGGCACTCGGAAAGGTAGGCGTGCCCCCAAAACAAATCCACCTGGTAAAAATTGCCACAGAAAGCCGAACTATCAAGCCTGGATAGCTTTGAGGAGCCTCCGGGACTCGCCCAGAAATGGCTTTTCATTACATTCAACGTTGGTTTTTCCACCCATCTGGAACTGATCAGCCCGTGTTCACACATCATCCATGCAACAGCCAACAGCTGGCTTAATCATCGGTGCTGCACTAACTTGGAACGCAATTGCACAATTTAATTTTAGGTCTATAAAATACATGTTACCTGAATGTTGAAATATTATCCACACTTCAACAACTTCCTAAATACATTTAATGACCTGGATACAGCCCCATATAGGCCATTAAATTCAATTTTTGGGGGACAGTTTGGTAACTGTCAACAAGCCGAATGCAATCTGTGACTACAATACAAACATGAAAGGTGTTGATCACTTTGACCAAATGATCAAATATTATCACTTCATAAGGAAAACTCACAAATGGATGAAGAAAATGACCATCTATTTTGTGCAAATGGCTATCTACAATGCTTATGTGATGTACAACTACTACACAAAAAATACTAAACTATAATACTGCATATACTAAAATACTAAATACTAAACATTTGTGGGCAGGAATTGGGAGTGTAGCTGGAAGGCGTCTGGGCGCTCACTCGCGGTTAACGCGTGGCCCATCTTCAATTCGTCGGCGAGTGGAGCGTGACCAGGTTTATTATTTTTGTTTTTTTGTTTTTTATTTATAGTTTATATGCATTTAGTGCTGTAGAGAATTCTATTGCGAACACAATGGTACCAAATTTAGTCTCGTAGGACGAGAATTAAGGTGACAAAGTTGAAGAGAGTATACACTTTTCAGAATTAACGATCGCTCCCGTGAAACGCTGGGACCCAAATCGCACAGTTGAGGGGTGGTGAGCGGGGCACGCCAAAGTATTAAGTGGATACTGTACCTTTCAGCTTTCTGACCTCAATTTTCGCGCTACGTCTTTCAATTTAGTATCAAATTGATCTCAGTAGAATGCTGTAAAGGGATATTTGCATATAAGAACATGTCTCTACCAGAGATAAAATAACCAGAATGAGGAAACTTTTCGACTCAAGGGAAGGTCACAGCTGTCTCGAGCGTGGGCATGAGAACAGTGAGCCTCCAGCGTGGGTGGGTACCCAGACCTGGTGGTCTGGTGGTAACTGAGTGGAAAGTGTGCGGGGGCTCGTAATTCCATGGCCTGGGTTCGATTCCCGGCACCGGCAGAGTTTCTTTCACTCTGATGCCCCTGATACCGAGCAGTAAATAGGTACCTGGGAGTTAGACAGCTGTTACGGGCTGTTTCCTGTTTGTCTAATTACCTAAGTGTAGTTACAGGATGAGAGCTACGCTCGTGGCGTCTCGTCTTCCCAGTACTCTGTTATATAACGCTTTGAAACTACTGATGGTCTTGGCCTCCACCACCTTCTCACCTAACTTGTTTCAAGTGTCTACCACTCTGTTTACGAAAGTGAATTTTCTTATATTTCTTCGGCATCTGTGTTTAGCTACTTTAAATTTATGACCTTGTGTTCTTGAAGTTCCAGATCTCAAGAAATGTTCCCTATCGATTTTATCAATTCATGTTACTATTTTGTACCTAGTGATCATATCACCTCTCTTCTGTCTTCTAGTTTTGGCATATTTAATGCCTCTAACCTCTCCTCATAGCTCTTGCCCTTCAGTTCTGGGAGCCACTTAGTAGCATGTCTTTGCACCTTTTCCAGTTTGTTGATGTGCTTCTTAAGATATGCCCCACCCTGTCCAGCTCGTTGTTGCCGTGGAGGGGGCTTGGTGGGCGGCTGCCGGAGTGTGATGCTCCTTAAGGCAGTTCTCTGTCCTTTTGTTGCCTTGTGCTCCTGCTGCTGTCCTCTCTAATTATGCTGGACACCTTTTCCTTATGTTTCGTCCCCCCCCCACCCCCTCTTCTCCTATCTGCTTGTCGTTTCCCGCCGACCTTTTGCTTGTTTTGGTTATTCTTTTGGACTTCTTCTATTTTGATGCCCGGGTGCTTGAGGAGGCATACTCTTGCACCCGTAGAACTGTAGTACCCTACGTCGAGAGCGAGGGGAACCTTTTATTGTCAATCCTCCTTTCGTCACTGAACCTGATCTCGACAGACTGACGGTTCTTAACCCTTTAACTGCGCATGGCGTATATATATGCCATTGGGTGCCAGGCATGATTCAAATGGCCCGCAGCTACACGGGGTTCATATTAGCTTCCTCAGGGATCTTGTAAACAGACGCCATTTTATTTTTAAATCGTGGGTAATATTCTGATGTGTGAGAGCCACAATACAACCAAGCAACCAAGGCTGGCGCACGCAGCATGAGCGAACAGTATTGCTGTTCAGCTTGTGACCAGAGCATCGCTGAAAAAGGTCAAAATAAATATATACCTGCTATTATTTAGCGATGCCAATATTACAGATGACCCTGACTGTGATAAAAATGACCAGGGTTGTGATAATATGGTGGCCACTATGCTCTTTGGGGACACTACAAGCTTAGGTGTACCGTTACGGTGCATACAACATGTAGATACTTATATATAATGTGTATATATAGTGTAATAACACCACAAACGGTGTTGTTGGAGGAGAAAGTTTAGTGCGTGTGACCTTGAATGAGTGAGGGAGCCGCCAGCTGACAGTGTGTGTGTAGCAACGACTCTTAGTGCCTGAACTAACTATATCAGCTTAGTTGTACAGTTGTGGTGAACATACATACATACTTATATACAGTATCCACTCAATTTAACGGCCTCTTTTATACCGATCTGCCGGTATTAACGACCGGTTTGGGAGCCCAGTATCTAGAGCCTGCTATACTGGTCTGCGGTCGATATTACCGACAGTCAGTATTGGGTTTGTTGTGGCATCAGCGTCCCCTCACATGGCGACCAGGCCGCCACCGACCTGGATCGTCCAGAGTCATATATTACATCTTAATTTTCTTTTAAAATGATTCACTTTAATGAAGAAAATTGTAAATTATTATTAATAAAATATTTTGAAACAGTTTTTATTAAGCAAAAGTCTTTGTTTTCTAATTAAATACCTTTTATAGTATGTATAGGCACTAGGTATTTTTTTTCCCACGGACCTAGTATGTACTCCGCCGGCCATGTGTTCCCATTGTTTACCGTGAACTCGCGCGGCTAGCTTCAATTGTGAAGGATATTACTGTACTGTAATTGTGATCTTTTTAATTTACAAAATGCCAAAAGTTACCCAAAGGAAGCGCCTGACGGTTGCACAGAAGCTGGAGTTAATTAAGAAACTTGATAAAGGATATTCTCATGCACGAGCAGCAGCAGAGTTTAACATTCAACATAATTGTCAATAGTGAAGTAGAATTAGAACTCATGTGAATTAGTAGTAAGGCTAGCTGTTGTGTGAAGTGAGTGCCTGAAAATAAGTGTACATACAGTATGTACCCTGTATACAATATAAACAATATAAAACAAGCGCTGCAGAGGATGACGTAATCTTCACAGCTTCGTAATCTTCAGCTTCATTAAAAGTAAGTCAATTTACCAATTTTATTATAGTATTACAAGATATTAATTGTTTTTTTTTCAACAAAAGCTACATATTAGTCTCTGCAAATGTATATTCTATCGTCAGCAGAGAAAAGGTGAGCTCAAAATATTTCGTCTTGGCTAGCTCTCAGTGACAAGGCTCGATCGCCATTGTTATGGCATGGCCGCCACAGCCTGTGTCGTAACATTAAAAATACATTACCTGCACTGTTCAGGGTAAATCAAAACACATCTCTAAAATTTTATTAAGACAATATTAACTCACTGATTGATACATAAAATATTTTTCAATACAAAGGAATGAATCAATTTTTTCCCACCCATCTGGACTTGATCAGAGCGTGTTCACACATCATCCATGCAGCAGCACAGTAACTGGCTTAATCGTCGGCCGTGCACTAAATTGGAATGCAATTACACTATAACTAAAATTAAATAAAGTTCATTCAGTATAAAATATATCCTACCTGAATGTTACTTGAAAAATTACCCGACCCAACTTAACGTCGGAAATAACGGAGCTCCGTAAATAACGACTTGGGCTCAGCCCCATATAGGCTGTTAAATTGAGTGGATACTGTATAACGTCTATATATAGTGTAATAGCACTGCAAACAGTATTGTTGGGGGAGAAATTTTAGTGTGTGTGAACTTGAATGAGTGCGAGAGGCAGCCGCTAGCTGACTGTGTGTAGCAACGTCTTTCAGTGCCTCTACTATATCAGCTTAGTTGTACAGTTGTGGTGAACCAAACATGTAGATACTTATATATAACATCTGTATATTGTGAATAAAATATAAAACAGGATGGTGGGAGAAGAAAGTGGGCGAGTGAGGCGTTGAGGGAGTGGCAACGAGTGGCTGGCTGGTGAGTGACTGTCACTCCTCGTTGCTTTTCGACTCTCAATACCAACTTAGTGGTTCGTTATGGTGAACAAAACATGCAGATACTTATATACATAACGTGTGTATAGAGTGTAATAACAGCAATACTATT